GTCCCCAATTGTTTCCTGCCCCATCTCCTGTTAAACACTAATTGACTACCTGCTTCACAGATGTGCTTATCCCTTGTTTCTGGCTTCACTGAGTTAACAGGTTGTTAAGTTTTAGCAGTGAGGTAGAATGTATCCGGATTTCATTCTTTTTTGGGTTGAATAATACTCCATTTGTTTTCGTGTGAATACATGGTTTCAATTTTTTCAAGTATACATCTAGGAATGGCATTGCTGGGTCAGATCACCACTGCATTTCCCTTTTTTTGAGAAATTGCCAAAGAGTTTTCCAAAGTGGCTGCAAGACTTTACATTTCTATCAGCAATGTGTGAAGTGTCCAGTCTCTGCATTTCCTGTTCTCACTTGTTACTATTTAAGTTTTTGATTTTAGCTATTCTAGTGGATAGCTAGAATATGTTACGACTTTTACATGCATTTTGTTATTGAAATATAAGGTTATCCAACATCTTTTTGTGTGCTTTTTGTATATCTTGGAAAAATGTCTATTCAGTTTGTTCTTAAGATTAAAAGTGAGCATTAACTTGTTCTATCAGAATGTACGGCTAATGTTAGTATTTCCATGTACTCATTTATCTTCTGTTTTATACAGTGTCACACATATGTAAGAACTTCATGTCTTCAAGGAAAATTTCTTATTTGGATCTCACTAGACTAGGAGAAGCAGTCCTGATGTGCATTTTCTTTGTATCCCGCACTATTCCCTAGTAGCAAGTAACCCAACTTTACCAAAGAATTGTCCGCTGAGACAGAAGCCCAACGAGAAATGCAGTGTCTTGCTTGCTTTTGTATCATCAGAGTAGAAGAGTTCTTGACTGCATAAATAAAAAATGAAGTATAAATTGCAAAGAGCTGCGGCCACTGACTGAGTGGTGCACTGAGTTCTAATACTGAGCAGTCTTAGAGTCGTTTAACTGCTAAGCCCTAAGTAATTCAAAAGCCAGAGAAGGAGAGTATGTGATTTAAAATTTTCTTAAAAACCTCAGTCCAGACTTAAAAAAGAAGTATTTGAACACAGTACCTAATATGCTTTATAGATAGTAAATATAAAAACACAGCTAGAGATTTACTAAAAGACAAACAAGAACAAAATATATAGGCAAGTACAAAGCAAAATCATGGGCGACTGGCAACCCATCTCCCCATATCAACAGAGTTTAAGGTGATTTTGTGTGCAGATAATGGAATAAAAAATAGAGATTAACATTATTATAATATAGGAAAGCCAAATCTGTAAATGCCTACTATGTCCATCTAATTTAGAATAAAAAGAATTAAGATATGTTATGCATATGTACAAAATCCCAACTATGAATGTAATCATTATGGACTGCAAACAAGTACTAATACAAATAAATTTTAAAAAGAATCAAAATAATTCTGTTTTGGGCTAGTACTATCTCCACTTTTTCTAGCTAAATATTTCATATGGGTCACATGAAAAATGACAATATAAAGACTGACTGATTTGACAGAGCACTAGTGTGAAAGAAGTATCATCTTTATCTGGCAAACACTTCTGTTTCAATACTCGAGTTAAAATTTTAAGAGGTCTCATTTTACTGTGTGATCAAACTCAAGCAAGATTTTATATTATTGGATTGTAACACTTGCTACACTACGAAGTGCCCTCTAACTCACCTCATGAGGTGAATGCACATGGAAGCCAGGCACTGTAAAGAAAGCCATGCATGGATGAGACCTTGTCTAGTTCTCCCAAATGATTCTTTAAAAGAAAAAACCAAAACATTTTGAGTCACAAAAGTAATGCGGTGTACTGTCCTGGCTGTGAGTCTAGAAAGGGATCCCACCCTCTCCCATGTGGACCACAAGAAAAACAAAAATCCAATAAAATTAAACAAATCTATCTCAAGTGACAGGATTTGATTTTTAGGGTTGTTCAAATTTTGGGTCTCATCTGTTGAACATTGGTTTTGTAAGCAGGCTAGAGTCATGATACAGAAGTGCATTCTCGTTATTGGGATGTACCTCTTTCTAGCATGTTGCAGTTTTATTTTTAACAAATTGATATACGACGTGAATATAAAGGTAATTGTGTTGTCTTAAAATTGTCAATGAAACTTTAAAATGTATCTTTCATACTTGTGCATATTTAAATATTTAATTAAAATAATTAATTAAAATATTTTTATCCATGTTAAACAGCTTTTTGTACAGGCTTCAACCTATTTTTCTGAAATGTGCTGTTTTTCAATGAAATAATTATAATCTTTTCACATCTTATGAAACTGCTGTCCACATTGCAACTTTTAAAATTTAATCATATTTTTCAAAATTAACTTTTTTGGAGGAAGAAATTCCCCACTTGTTAAATGATACTAAACTGTTGTTTGGGCTCTTATAACTAGGTCCTCAGATTTCATAAAAATATAGTCTGAAGCCTTCTAGGTTCTTCACTAAAGTTGGTTATACATAAAGAATATAAAATGACACCCAAATTCTTTTAAAGGTCCAGGTATTCCCACTACCAACGTGTGGGGAGCATTTTGTTCATGCATATAGTCACCATTAAATTGGACAACTTTTGAGCTTCTCATAGATAATGGAAACCATTTTTTTTTTTACTATGCTTGGGAAGAAGATATTTTAATATAATTTTTCCTAAATCAAACAGCCTAAAGATGGAGGAGCAGTAAGCAGCAGAGAAAACAGTCTCTCTGTGAGACGTTGGAATATAGAATCATGAAGATGACAAGAAGGAAGGAAGTGGCTCCCCTGGACCCAGAGAGAATCTAAAATGTGAACTGAAGCCCAGAGAATGAAAAGAAAAAATTCAAGGAAGAAGAAGGCAATGACCAACAAAGCCTTGCCCTGCGATGGGACTCACTGTGAGAGGAGCTATTTGAACCTGGGGATGTGTAGTCATGGTGATGGTGTCAGCTGGTGACCTGGGAAGCTTCTGCAGAGGGCTGCGGCAGTGGAGGGGAACAGCAGACCTGGCGGACTGCACTAGCTGGTGGTGAGTGCAGAGGACTCAGTCCTCCCACAGGGAGACAGCATTTGGCTGGAAGCCATTTTGGAGATGAGTCAGGTGAGCTTGGAACCTAGATCGGCTGTGTCTAGCAGCACCCAGCTGCCGCACACCAGTGGAAACTGTTTGGACTGTGGCAAGCTCCATGAGCCTGGTCCCAGGGTGGGCCTGCAGAGACTATCTACTACAATACCAAAAGGCAACTGCTGACTTGCTGGGATAGCTCAGACTTGGGACTCTGTCTCCATAGGTTGTCTATTAGTGAAACCAAAGTGATTGCTGGAAGTGGACTGTTTTCCTATTTTTTTCTCTCTCTCTCTCTCTTTCTCTTTCATTGTTCTTGTATGAATGTGAAAGTGGTTCCTAACCTCTTCAGGGATATGGTTCTATTCTGTTCTTCCTTTGAACTCTTCTGTCCCTTTTCTTCCGTTTTTTTGTACCAGTTTCCAAAGTTAGTATGATCCTCCTTTGTCCTCTAACTTTACTTCTAATGTCTTTTTCTTCTTCCACTTCTCTATTTTCTCCTTCATCCATTTTAAATTTTAATTCTCAAGGGCAAAACTGACACATTACAGACTTATATACTGCATATAATTACTTAGTTTGTTTTACATAATCACAAATACAGTTTTTATGGTTAACAGTTACAAAAAAGGGTTTAGCTCAGTTTTCTGTTTTCTAGGCTGTTTGATGCTACTGGTACCACTGTAGCCAAAATTGACATAAATTGTTCTAAACAGTTGTTGGTTCTGGAATACCATGACTGAGATTAACTAAAGGTTACAGGAAATATGGTGGCACAGTGCCAACGAACCAGGGACTAGCCAGGCATGATGGCATATATGTATAATCCTAGCACTCAGGAGGCTGAGGCAGGAGGGTCACGGAGTTAGAGACTAGTCTGAGCTACAAAGTGAGCTCAAGGGCAGTCTGAACCGCATAGTGAGACCCTCTGTTAAAAAGTCAACAAGTAAACAAATAAAAAAACCAAAACAAACAAAAACCAGGAACTAGGCCAAACAAGCAACAACTCACCTGCAACAAACTGAAGAGAGATAAGCTCTTCCAACAGACTCAAAACCTAAAACCCAGCTACACCTAGAAGATACCTCAAAGAAGTAATCATTACCTAAGGGTCTGAAATACTACCAATAAAGCATCCCCCCATAGGTAACATACAACCATCACCCCAGGAATTAAACTAAAAAAAAAAAAAGAAAAAAAATGAGAAGACACTTAAACGAGATGCAACTTCAGACATGGAGTTCACCAAAGGCAAACCCAGGAGGTGGGAACAATCTGAAAGACCCCACCAGATCTCTCTGAAGTTGAAACAACAAAGCAATTGAATGAAGCTCTGGAAAAAATGAAATCAGAAATAAAATCTCTCAAATAACTATACAGATTACCAAAATACATACCATGCTTAGCAATGTTAGAGTAGACACAGACCAAAAAATAGATGAGCTTAAACAAATTATGGATATGCAACATAGGCAACAAATGGAATCCATAAAGCAGATTCAAGAAGACATTGAGGAGAATAATCTCCATTGAAAGCATTCGAAGCAGATTAGGCCAATGTGAGGATAAGATCTCAGACCTGAAGATAGACTTGCAGTTAGCAACCAGGAAAAAAAAAGATTCCTAAAAAATACCAAGTGACCATGAGAAATCAATCCAATAGCTGTTACATGAGACAAAGAAGAATAACTTAGGATTCACTGGAGCTAATGAACAAATCGGGGACACTACAAATGACATTAAAAAATCTTCAGAGACACCATTACAGAAAACTTTCCTAGTAGAGAAAAAGAATTTGACATTCAGATATAGGAGGCATATAGGACTCCAAATAGCAATGACCAACAAAAATCTACATCCAGGCATATTATAGTCAAGTTTCCAGAAATTCAATACAAGAATAGAATACTAAAAGCTGTTAGAGAAAAGAAACAAATCATCTATAGAGGAAAGCCAGAATCACAGCTGAGCTTTGCATAGTGGCATATCATAGCCAATGAGGTTTATCTGAGGCATTATTATTGCTAACAGAATTACAGCTGACTTCTCAGCACAAACTCTCAAGTCAAGAAGAGCTTGGAGCGAAGTATTTCAAGTTCTAAAGGAAAACAACTTTCAACCCAGATTGATGTAGCCTGCAAAAGTATTTCCAAAACTGATGGAAGAAATAAGATACTGCCATGACAAAGAACATCTAAGGAAATTTATGATCACCTGACAATCCCAGGGAAAGGGAAATCACAGCCCAAAGACAAATTCCGGGTTCCTAAGGGATCATTCCCTTGGTGTTAAGGAACCTGTTGTATAAAATGATACTATTCCACTGCATGTGGTCTGTCTCCCTTTTCTCTCACATATGTGAACACTGAGGCTCTGTGAGGGACAAGGTTTGCTGCACAGGCTGCAAGGAGCACAGCCAGTGAGCACTCAATCCTGGGTACGGATGCCAGCTTCATGGTTGCTCTGCTATCCTGTGATCCAAAGCAGCTGCTCTGTCTCCAACCATTGCATCTGTATTCCAGCCAGAGGGAAGAAGGAAGCATTACCTTTCCTTTTAAAAGCAGTTTAAAGTTACCCTCCAAAATGTTCTGAAGGGCATTCTAGAAAGAGATAATAAGGACTACAGCTTCATGAACCCCAACCTAAGGAATCTATCAGAGAAGGCAAACAACTGGAGGGGAAAAAAAAGGTGGAGAGCCAACAAGAACATTACATGACAAGGAAAAGTCAAAAGATTTCTGTTATAACCAACAATGATAATGGTCTTAATTCATCAATCAAAAGACAAAGACTCGCACAATGGATCAAGAAGCAAGATCCAACAATATGCTGCATAAAAGAAATATATTTAATTCAAAAAGAAATTAGTTGAAAGTCAAAGGATGGAAAACAATACTCCATGCAATAGGAAGCCAGAAAAAAAGCAGGAGTAGCTATTCTATTTGCAGACAAAGTGAATTTCAAGCCAAGACTGATTAAAAGAGGTAAACAAGGTCACTACATCCTCATAAAGGGAAGAATCCAAGAGGAAGAGTTAAGAACCATAAATACATATGCAACAAATATTAGTGCACCCAACTATGTAGATGTAGTGGTTGATTGATTGTGTCAACTGGAGACATTTAGAAGCTTCACTAAATGGGTTTAGCAACTCTACACCCAAGGGTGCAGAAGAAAACCTCCCCTAGGATGGCTCATCACCTGGAGGTATAATAGGGAAGGAGGAAGGACAAGAGCATTCCATTCTTGGGAGAAGCTCCAGTCTTCAATTTTGGTTTGGACCTCATCTCCTGGCTTCCAGTGTAGACTCTTTAGCTTTCTGGCATAGACTCTTTAGCCTTTTGTCATAGAGCCTTCAGCTTTCTGTCACCATCAGCCTGCTGGTGTGGACTTGCACAAGACACAAGTTCACAAGGGTGAACTCCAGACCTCGGATTGAATCCCTTCTCCTCCAATGCGTAGACACCCTCTGCACGCTTCCTCATCTGACTCTGTGGCTGACCATCGTAAACCAATCTTGTTTCTTTTACATCTGTGTATCTTGTGTTATATCTGTTCTCTCTAGTAAAACCTTGACTAATACAGCAGAACAATTACTAATAGACATGAAAAATCAAATGAGCCCTAATTCAATCATATTAGAAGAGTTCAATCATCCACTGTCACAAAAAGACAGATCAACTGCACAAAAAAACAATAATGAAATATTAGAACTAAATAAAAATTCGGAACAAATGGACTAGCAGAGGTTGATAGTGGTCTACCCCACTACATCAGAACACGCATTCTTCTCAGCAGCACATGACACATTCTCCAAAATAAACCATATACGGGCTCATAGAACACGCCTAAGTAAATGCAAAGGAACTGAAATTCTCCCATACATACTATCAGATCACAGTGCACTGAAACTGGAAATCCATGACAAAGGCAACCACAAGAACTTCATAAACACATGGAAATTAAATAGAACCCTACTGAACAACCAATGGGTCACAGATGAAATTAAAGAAGAAATTAGGGACTGAAGATTTAGCTCACCAGTATAAGTGCCTGCCTGACAAGTACAAGATTGTGAGAGCAATCCCTGGTTTAAAAAAAAAAAAAAAATCAGGCAGTTTTTACAGTTGAATGATAATGACAATATGATATACCAGACCAGGGGCTGGAGGTTTAGCTCAGCGGCATAAGCGCCTGCCTTGCAAGCAGGCAGTCATGAGTTCGATCCCTGGTACCGATAAAAAGGAAAAAGACCGAAAAAAGAAAAAAAAAAAATGATATCCCAGACCTTGTGTAACACAATGAAAGCAGTTTTTAGAGTTAAATTTATAGCAGTAAATGCCCATATCAGGAAAATAGAGCAAGAAGAACAGGCTAAGCCAAAAGCTTGTACGAGGGAGGAAATTATAAAGAGTAGAGCAGATTAACACACTGGAGGCAAAAAACAATACAAAGAATCAATGAAGCGAAAAGTTGGTTCTTTGAAAGATTACATAAAATTGACAACCGTTTAGCCAACATTATCAAAAAAAAAAAAAAGGAAAAAAAAAGACTCAAATCCATGCAATTAGGAATGAAAAAGGTAAAATCACAACAGACCCTGCAGAAATCCAGAAAATCATCTATACCTACTTTGAAAACTTGCATTCTAATAGAATGGAAAATACAGAAGAAATGGACAGATTTCTAGACACCTATGAATTATCAAAGCTGAATCACGAAGATACAAAAATCCTAAATAACCCAAATATCAATAAATGAAATCAAAGATGCAGTTAATGACCTATCAACAAAGAAAAGTTCAGGTCTTAACGGATTCACTGCTCAATTCTACAAGGAATTTAGAGAAGACATAATTCAACTACTTAAATTCATCCCTGAAAACAAGCATATCTTGATACCAAAGCCACAGAAGGACACAACTAAGAAAGAGAATTACTGAGCAATTTCCCTAGTGAACATTAATACAAAAATCCTCAATAAGATACTGGCAAACATGGGGCTGGGGGATTTAGCTCAGCGGCATAAATGCCTGCCTTGCAAGTAGGCAGTCATGAGTTCGATTCCCGGTACCGATAAAAAGGAAAAAGACAAAAAAAAAAAAAAAAAAAAGATACTGGCAAACAGAATGCAGCAAATTGTCAAGACTGTGCACCATGATCAACTGGGAGTCACCCCAGAGAGGCAGGGATGGTTCAGCACACATAAATCTGTAAATGTAATGCATCATATTAACAGAGCCAAGGACAAAAATCAGTTTATCTCAATAGATGAAGGAAAAGCTTTTGACCCATTCATGATAAAAACTCTACAGCAAATTGGAACAGATGGTCTTTATCTCAATCTGATAATGGCCATCAATGACAAACCAATAGCTAAGATCATATTAAATGACAAGAACTAAAATCTTTCTCTTTAAAATCAGAAGCAAGACAAAGATGTTCACTGTCTCACTCTTATTCAATACAGTCCTGGAAACTTTATCTAGAACAATTAGATAAGAGAAAGAAATAAAAGGAATAAAGATAGGAAAGGAAGAAGTTAAACTCGTAAGAAGTATACATCTTTACTTTTGCTTATAAAAAAGAAAAAATTATATGCCTATGTAAAACAATAAATTTTGCTAACACAGACCTGTTATTTTTAAATTTCATGGGTAGGATACTGAAAAGTTTGCTACTGTTGTTGTACGGAGAACAGCAACTTCATTTCAAAATGAAGATGTGGAAAATTGTGGAAATGTTAATTTTTGCTACTATGTTTACTTTCTTCCTTTGACATTTACTGATAGTCCTTTGTAAGGAGTCCACAGGTCCCACCCTTATCTAAAATATGCTCATCTGCCTAAACAATTTAGGTTTGAAGAAAATGTTTGTCTTCTAAGCTTAGATTTACATGTTTTAAATTTTCTAACACATAGGCAGGCATGGAGGCACACATCTCATCTGTAATTCCAGCACTTGGGAGGCTGAGGTAGGAGGATCACTGTGAGTTCAGTTAGCCTGTGCTACACAGTGAGTTCAAGGTGAGCCTGGACAAGATATTGAGAACCTGTCTCAAAAATAACATTTCGGGGCTGGGGGATTTAGCTCCGCGGCATAAGCACCTGCCTTGCAAGCAGGCAGTCGTGAGTTCCATCCCCAGCACCGGGGGAAAAACCAAAAACCAAAAAACAAAAATAACATTTCTTTTCCTACACATAAACTGTTCTTTGAGGTTTAGAGCTGTGCAACAAAAATAACAGGAAAACATATCAATCTTACCCTGGCCAATAATCTGTGTAGTATATAGCTGTTGGTTCCTTACTTACTGGAGGCCTTTTTTGGTAAAGTCAACATTTAGGTAAAGTCATTTTAGGTAAAGTCAACATAGCTAATCTAGCTTAAATATGGACTTCTTAATAAACTAAGCTAAGGGGCTAGGGATTTAGCTCAGCAGCATAAGAGCCCACCTTGCAAGCAGCAGTCATGAATTTAATCCCTGGTACCGATAAAAAGGAAAAAAAGACAAAAAATAAAAACAAAAACAAAAACAAAAACCTAAGCTAAGAAGGAAGATGAGGGGAACGGTACTTCACTGAATCTTCACAAGAAACCTGGAGGGTAGGTATAATTACCTACCCTAGCATTTTACTGATCTATAGATGGACAGGTAGGTTAAATAAGTTGCTAAAAAAGAATTGAACTACCAAGTGGCAGCAGTGGTATTTAAAATAAGGTCCAAAGCTCATGTTTGCCCAGGGTCCCCACTGCAAATCAGGATGCTTATTACATTTTCCATATTCACGTATATGCTTGCAACTGGGTTGCAACCAGAATCAGGGAATGAATTCTTTTAAGTTTGTGAACTGAGGTCCTAGAGCATTGTAGACATTTCTTTATTTACTTATAGTATTGGAACAAGGTTATTTTCTTTTTCATCTCACAAAAGCACATGTTCAAAGAATAAGACGTGACGACTATGCGAAACACATGGCAGTGAGCACAGGCAACTGTGATGCCCAAAGGGAAAGAAAGCAGCATTTCAGGCTAAGCTACACTGACACAGAACTGCTCTTCTCTGACTTGCCACCTCCGTAACATGTCAAAGTAAAGATCTTTCTCTTTTACTACAACTTTAAGGTTAACTCATGACATTGACATACATGTCATGGATTTTATTTTCATCTGTCTAGTTGCTTCCTGATTTTCAGACTATGCCAAAAAAAGGGGATGGACTTCTATAATAGGAACCCTTTCAAATTAGGAACATCAAGCCAATAACTAATTCTCAGCAACACAGTAGTCTTGAAGTCATTTAAAAATTAGAAACTGTTTTTTTGAACAAAACTACATTCATGTGGGAAAAGATGAAATGCACATATCTTCTGTCATATTTTTTCCAAGACTCTATTATGGTGAATTTCTCTAGACACACATCTCCCTCTCAGTGTATCTTTCAGTTCTGTTATCCAAACAGAACAGAAAAACTGGGTTTTAAACAGTTGCTTTTATAAAAGTATCCAGACTTTACAAGAAAGTATGACTGCCTTTGTTATCTAGGGATAGTTTCCTGTGTAACTTTGGTATGCCATCATTTGTTACTGAAAGATAACAGAACCCAGTTTAAATATTTGAAGATTTAAAAAAACAAAAAGTTGCTAATTTTTAAAACCAAAATACAAATTATTTAATGTTTTTCTAAGGATAAATATAACTTTGGTAAATATAAGATCCAATTTATTCTTTTGAGAAGGTCTAATTCCCAACACAGAGAAATTTTATAACCTTCTTTTCAGACCATAAGCAGTGTAATTCAGGCTGCTCAGGAAGCTGATGCAAGAGGATCACAGGCTTGAGGGCAGCCTAGCCAATGCAGTAAAGCCTTAACTCAAAGATACAAAATAAAAAGGACTGAGATGTTCTTCACAGTACAGTGTCCAGGGACTGAATCCCTGTTATGGGGTGTGGAAAGAGCATAAGAAATAGATGCTGAGTATTACCTTCACATAACAACACGGTGACCACGTCCCTGGAAAACTCTGTAAAACAACTCAGAGGGATTCTGATTTCATCTCAAGGTCTTTAGATAAGTTTCAGTATAGTTTCCCCACAAGTCTTTTTTTCTGGTACTGGAGATTAAACTTAAGAGTCTTCATACTGAAAGCCTCTATCCCTTATTTTTAATTTTGAGACAGGGTCTGAAAAGTTGCTAGTTGGGCTTAAAATTGAGGTATTTCTGCCTCCAACTCCCAGAGTGCTAGAATTACAGGTGCGCAGCACCATTCTTGAGTGGCCTGTTCTTTTTTATAAACATCTTAGGGGCATTCAGTAATGGATTAATGTTCAGAACAAAGATACAACAGCAACAAAGTGTAAGCAGGTTCAAGAAATACAATTAATGGTAAGATGAATAAAAACAGTATCAAAATTTAAGAATACTATTCTTTATACTTTATTCAGAACCTGCTAAGATTCTGGCTAATAATGAAATGTAACTGTTGGTTTTTGTACTAGTACTTCTACTTATAAGAAAAAAGAGTAATTGCAGCATTTGAATCTCTGGTAATATCACAAACATGTATTTTATATATATATAAAAGCATCAATAATCATGTTAGAATTTCCAAAGCCATTACAAAGCGAGCATCCACGAGGCAACATTAACTGAAGTAAAATCTGTTATGTGCAGAGTGTCTTACTAAGCCATTCATTTACTTTAGCTAATTTATGCCAGAAGCAGTTACTACTTTCGTTTTTTTTTATTTTTTATTTTTATTTTTTTTAAAAACCAAGTCAGTGAACTACTTTCGTTTTGCAGTTGAGGAATTCAGGTAATCTGTGCAAAGCCACAAGGATAGTTAGTGGGTGGGGTGTGACTAAGGTCTCGTGTTCTTTCGTATCTATCGTTGTTTTTAGTCTTAAAATATAGTTGGAACATCTGTTTATAAAATAAAATTGATGCTTAAAGACTAGATATGTTGAATGAAAAATCACTTTTTACTTCATGTTCATTTTCATTCTATAGAAAATGAATTTTTGAAAAAGTAGAGGAACTGTAAGTAGCTAGGGGAAGCTCAGGGATCATAGAAATAACTGAGCTCATTATCATGCCCCTTACCTAAAGGGACTATACCACAGTACCACATTCAGGTGCCACTGAGTCACAAATTGTCATATGAAGATATTTTACAAATATGTCTTACTGATTTAATATCCATACCTTCCAGATGTATTCTTTAGTATGGCAAGGGCATCTGGATAGCCATCCATGTTATAGTCTCCGATATGAAGGGTTATTGGAATTGGAATTTCAGTTGGCATTTCTTCATGCACAAATGGCACAAAACCCCACAATGTGCCCTTATTGCTGAAATCCTGTAGGACCGGAACCCACTATAGAGTAAGAAAAAAGGGTCAGATTTCAGACTTATTTTTAAAAATTATCATCTGTACCAGAAATGATTCATTAAAATTTCTCAAAATAATCATTTCACTTTGTTTCCATAATATGACAGGGTATTATTTATTTTGATAAACAGGTGATGTTTTGGGGGGAAAAAGCAGATTGCCCTTAGAAGTTATCACCAGTCAGTCATCTTTACTTCAACTCAGTACCCACAATTACAGAAGGCTTTTTACAAACTCAAAGAACCTTAGAACTGATTTAGTTTTCATGTAGCTGAACTATCAATTTAAAATTTATGTCAAGCAGAAATAAAACGTCAAGTGAGTATTTTAAAGAACTAGAACAAACTGCAGTATCATCTAGTGTAGACATCCTTCAGATGGACCAAGTTAGGAAGAAGGAACACAGTGAGTCCCTCTGCCTTTACTGCTGTGCCTCTCATTAGTGAAGACTTTTACTTTCTATTCATTATTTTAATTACTTGCATTTATTCACTTTTAAATAACCTAATATAACATTAAAAATCTTAAGAATGCAAGTCGTGTTATTATGATTAGAGGTATGCCCACAATTAGCTAAGAAGACAGGCAAGGGCACAAAACCTGGAGGTGTCCCAGCAGGAGCAGGCACTGGAACTGACTCCAAAGGCCAGCATGACATGTGTGCCCAAAGTGGTTTCTTTTTTCCTGACAAGCAGGTAATTCATTTTTGTGATTCCAAGCTATATCACAGAAAAATGGCATCTTTAACAAACGGATTTAATGGTTCAACAAGCAGAATATCTCCAACTGTTTGTAAGTTTTTCAAAGTACAATGTGCCATGGAAAAAGGGGGGAAAATTCCACAATACGAATATTTGCAGAATGTGAGTTTTTTTCAAACTGACCTGCATTGTAAACTAATTTTTTAGTCATCCTTTAAGCAAAAAAGTAGTATTTTACAGATCACTGAAATGTTTAAAAGTTTTACTTGGAAAAAAAACTGTTACTTTATTTTAGAAAAAGATGGGAAATTTCACACAACACTTTCTGAAGTTTAGAGTTAATTAATGAGGATAATTAACTGGAAATAGAGTTTCTATTATGACAATTTATTAAAGTTTAAAAAGTAAAAATACTTTTCATTTAATATGACATCCATAACAGTTGCCAAAGAACTGCAGCATTTATTTCCCTTGAGAGATGTGCACATATTTCCAATCTATTCTTATAACAGCTGGTTACTAGAAGATAGGATATAAATACCAGGTTTGCTTATACCTAAAACCAATAATGAGGTGTGACCTGACCTAATGTTTTAATTGAATTCAAAATTAAATACAGTTCAAAGTAGTAAGACTTATGAGTGTCATGGTCAAATGATTTTACAGTGCTGACTGTATGGTTTCTTTTCTTTAGTGCTTTAACATAAAATGTGATACTTCCTATTCATAAGGGATATAGAAGTCAACATGTTATCCTATAATTTATTAACACCCAAAGAAAATAAAGCTGACTAATTCTACTGCTGGCATAACCCACCACATATTAATCTCTGCTAAGACTCTCAGACTGTAAATTATTTATATATAAGCTAAAGGTAAAAAATTGGCATGAAAAATGAAATAGATCTAGATATCACAAACAAAAATAGGCTACCTCTGAAGACAGATAGTGTTCTTTTATATACCCAGTGTATTTTAATATATTTCTGGCATATAAAATACTAACAGTTCACTTAATTATAGGATTCAGAATGAGTTTTCATCATTAGAAATGTCTATAGCAGTACTTTCTTTTTATTTTTAGCAGTACTTTCTGAGCAAAAATTAAATGTAATCACTAAACTACTTTTGAATTTTTCTGATTCTTCAGATGTCTTTTCTAAACTCTGTAGTTTTTTCAAGCACATAAAAACAAAAAAACAGTGATATACCTTCTTTGACCCAGATTTCCCTAAGTAGATGGTGCTTTTCTGGCAGAGTTTGTCTTCACAGCCTGGTAGTAAGTGATCCATGTGTCCGTCTCCATCTGGCAAAAGAAACTTCAAGAGTCCACTTAACAGCCACACAATAAACAGTTTACTGCTGGCAGGTTATAATTCCTACTCAAAAGCCTCCATTAATCTGGATAAAGCCAAAGAATTTGACACATGGCTTTATAATGACTGTCACTCAGTTTTTAAAAAAGTCACTCTGGCTCTTGCTACTTAAAACTCAGAACAATGCTTTGTTTTAAATTACAACTATATTATTCAATGTTTATCTGTGTTAGAAAAAAGTCTCACTTTGGGCTTTCCTGTTAAAATCAACTACTTTTAAAAAGATAGCTTTTACATAGTGATTGAGTAGTTCTGGTACTCAATCCAAGTGTAGCAGGAGACATAAGAAGGAGATAAAGTAAGAAGAGGACTTTAATGAGGGCATGGGAGAGCTTCATAGGGGTGCAGTGGCTCTTAACAAGAACAAAGAAGTGGGATTACTTTGATCAGGTTTAGCTGGGGGAGGAGTTTGGAGGTAGGGAAAATGACTATTGACTGCTGATTTGAAGGGACATATGCCTGTGTAAAACAGGATACAGAAAGATTTACTGAAGCTGGGGGTGGAGGCCCGGGTGGTTGTAGAGTCTTGGGATTGAGAGGGCTTGGCATTTGCACAAAAAGGGAGCAGGAGGTTTATCTCTGGAATGAGAAGGAGAATGTAGAATTTGTTTCTCTGGGTCCCACACTAAGTTGGGTGGATCTCATATTACAGATAACTAAGGCCCAGGCTAGTAGAACTTATCACATAGTTGTCATGTAGCAGCATAAAAATAAGCACATCAGTAGTAACACACTGCTGTGCAGCCAATCTTACACATGTGACTATCTGTGTACACAGTTCTAAGCACCTTTATTCAGCAGGAGTTTTACTCCAAGAGTTACAATGTTACCACTGTGCCTTCAGAAAAGCACTCAAAGATTGTGATCAGTGTAAAAGCAAATGAAGGGTAATACAGATTTTTTTTTCACAACTGGTTAATTTAAAAAAAAAAATAAAGCTGCTTACTATTTTGCAAATATCTTTAGAGGTGACATTACTGAGGCCCCTGCAGGCAGCGTCTTCTAAGCAGCTTCTTATCAACTGCCCTCACCATCTGATGGGGTTTACAGATTCAGATGACCTGGAGCTAAACCTCTTAATGGGAATAGTCATGTAGCTTTTAATTTGGAAGCCTGATTTTTATGTTGCTTTGACTGTTGATTTATTTACTACAGATTATCATATCATTTAACTTGTGTCCAAGATAGTATTTATACTAGGAAGGCAATAAATTACTATTAAATATCCTTTACTGTATTGGTTTATATACAAAGAAAAATACACATTATAACAAATCTATAAACTCTCAATAATGTATTCAAAAGCAGAAAAAATTAGACTAAGTGGGATACAAATCTAACCGATGGAATCGGAATTCAGTAATGAAAAATAATTTTGGGGGAGATTTTTAAAAATAATTCTTCAAAAGGTATTCAGTTTTTTTAAAAAAACCTTCCTCCTACTTTTGTCTCCTGCTCCCTTCCTCAATGACAACCACTACAGCAGTTTCATGTGTACTGGCCAATGACAGTCCATACATGTATGTGTACTGCATATAATTCTATACAAATATAATAGTACTTTATCCCCTCTCTGGGACTTGAACTTTTTACTTAATATACTTTTGAGATGGTTTCTTATTGGTAAACTTGTAACTGCCTAATGTATACTATAGTATTACATCTATATACATATCTCAATATAATTCTCTACTGATACGTATACACTGGATTATTTTCCAATCTTTTAGTAATCCAAACAATCAAAGAATCAATAACCTCATTTTAAGATATTTGCAACACAAATTTCTAAAATGGAAATTACTATTTAAATTTTTATTTCGATTTTTTTTTTTTTTTTTTGGTACTGAGGATCGAGCTCATGACCTTGCACTTACCAAGCAAGCACCTGAACCACTGAGCTAAATCCCCGGCTTAAAATTAAAGTTTTTAATTAATCTCCAAAAGGGAGATTGAAAGAGTTCTTAAACTTTCTGATGCTCAAAAAAACTAAGGACAATAAAAGAACTTGTATATGTGAGTTATATCTTTTTGGCTATTTACCATATTAAAAATTAAGATTCAGAAGTACTTATATATTTACTAAGCCAAAAATAACAACCATAAAATGTCACATGTAAGTTTTTACAAAAGTGGAATTGCCTGGTTCAACACCTATCTTAACACTGTTAGAATATGTTGTTTTTGTTGATAAACATGAAAATACGTACTTGAAAGATGTATTTTAATAGTTTTTTCAGATAACTCTAGAGATTCTTCCATACTACCACCAAAACAACAATTTTTTCCTCATAATGAAGTTTATTTGCAATGAAGAATTTAAAGAACTAGTAGTGCACATTTCCTACTCTGTTAATTAAAATCCATTGGTCTATCTTGCATTTATTATGTATGTTTTATATCCATCTGCACAATCATGTAAAATGTATGACTTTTAAAATCACATACTGATCATTTGGAAAATGTTGGTTAAATGAGCTATACAGAAAAAAAAAAGAGCTATACAGATCCTCCAAAATGCAAGCATACTTCATAATACAATATTAAAAATTCACATTTGGTAATGTCACTACAAGCTCACCAGAAAAGTCTTAAACAAAATTTTTTGTTTGAAAGCTCAAATTTTATTACTGACACTCATTTCTAGTAGTTGTAATTTTTAATAAGCTCCATTTGTTCATTTTAGAGAAAATATCTATTAAATATGCTCTATTAAACAACCGGTTCATCTGTCAGTTCTTCTAAGCAAAAAACTATGTAACATGGAAAAAAGAAGTGGCTAGTTCACCTTGCAACCCCCTTACCACCAGTACTTTTTGTCAAGACAATCATCTTATTCAATGTACAACAGAAGCGTTTTAGACATAGTATTTCCTCACACAGAATGTTACGAAGATGTATATAGTTGAGATATAGTAAAATTATTATGTTTTACTACTTTAAGAAACACCTTCTCTTCTTCTTCTTCTCCTTCTTTCATTATTTTTTTGAGACAGGGTCTCCTTGTGCAGTTTGGACTTGGCCTTGAACTCACAGAAACCCTGCCTCAGCCTCCAGAGTGCTGGGATTACAGGCAAGAATAAACATGCTAGGCCAACAGCAACATTCTGCAGTGAAACTATACTTCTTATTTTCTTCCTGCCCTACCTTATTTTGATAGCGTGAGTGTACACTGGTGGTGAACACACACACACAGAGTAGATTTTAGAATTACTACTTTGTGCTAAACAGCAAACAGCTTTACACACCACTGATTTTCCTCAGCAACGAAAAGGTCAACACAGCCAAAACAGCAAGAAAAAGAAAAACCTTAGCATTGTTACAAACACAGTTTCGACTTCGTAGACTCCTTGAAAGAGTTGTAGGAACTCTGCCCCAAGCCAGTACTTGGGCACAGTTTGAGAATCACAAAAGCGGCATTAAGGACTACATTATTTTCACTTTTGATAATCTATTTTTGAAAGCGATTCTAAGAATTTTAATTGTTAGTTTTCTTATGAATTACATTAGTAGTGCTGGGGATTCAACTCAGTGTGAAGAATCACTGTTTCGCCCCCACTACTGGGGAGAGAAAAAAAAGGTAGAAACATACTAATACTTTGTTTTGGATTTTATATTTTGCTTGTAACTTGTAAGTCTTTCCACTCTGTTGCTAAAACTACCTGTGCTCCTCTGCCTAATCTACTCTCTTGTAGTACTTATGGATATTATTTTTAGGTTTAAGTGTTTGAAATTTATTTTGGCATAAAATGTGCATTATAATCCTACTATCATTTTCACGCAAGATATACAGTTTTCCCATATGAATTCGTGAATGAAAATAATTTAATTTTCAGAAAAGAAATGAAATCTCTTTTGTATTATTTATTTTTATCTGTAAGTGGGGCATGACTTTCTAACTGAATGATTCCTCTAAGACTTAAATTGGAAAGGAAAATTTGGATCAATTATAAACAGTAAACACACACAAAGTGTATTACCGCAAGTATCTCCTTTCTTCCTGTATGCTATGTACTTTGCACCCAGGAACCAGACAAAGCCCAACTCCTAAAGGACAGAGAGGCTTTTCCTGTAGGGCTCTCACTTAGAGGACCAGCTGCATGGATTCCAGTGGAAAGAATGAAACACTTAGTCATGACTTTAGGGTTTGATAAACTTTAGAGATGGAGAAAAAGGTTATTATGTTAAACAGCTAAATATTTTGATCTGTACTCTGGAAGTCTGAGTTCAAGTGTAAAAATAAACTAATGATTTTTGATGTGTGGAGCAGCATAAATCATGACAGCTCAAACATGGATGGGGTAAGCAAAATATCAATTTCTACCATCTGGAAAACTTACTGGATCTGGCTGTGGAATAAACCAGATATTGTATAAATTCTAAAAAAACTAATTAATTGTAGAAGTTTTAAATAGAATTGAAAGCCTTAACTTTTAATATATGGAACCCAAAGCTGCAAGATGTGTATATTAAGTTTTAAAAGTGCATTTTTGGCTGAAATGGACACAGAATGTAGGTAAAAGTAGTAGCTCTCAGGACATTTGTCAAGAGCTGTAGGACATGGGTGGCAGACAGTGCACTCACATAAAACTATGTATTTCTTGTCTCATTAATGTAATGTTGGAAATATATACTAACATCCTAAAAAATGTAATCATTATTGAAGGTAAGAAAATGTCACGTCTTTTAGGTTTCTTATCAAAACCACTATTTAATTCTACAGATATAGCATAATTTTCTATAATGTTTATAAAAAATGAAGACATTTCTAGAAAGAGTATTTTAAATTTTTAAATGTATCTTTCAAAATTAAGTTAGTATCATGTAAATGGTTTCACAGGAAATATGACAGCTAAGAAAACTATAAATGTCAAATTGCCCAAATACATTTATCTTATTGATAAAATAGAAAAAGATTTAAGACATTTAT